GGCTCATGTATAAAGAATATCTCGATCCGACTGCATTAGCTAGTTGGCTTTAACCTCTAAGAAGGCTATTTACAATAAACCTTCACTGCTCTAAGCTTATTGAAAAGTGTTTGAAATAAGCTAAAGCTAATTGAAAAGTGTTATATTTTCTAATTAGCCTAAATGTTTGTGAGCTAACTGCAATAAGCCTAAACATTAGGCCGATAAGAGAATACTGGAGACTTTTCCAATTACTTCTGGAAAATATTCCAAAATGACAACGAATGTTTTTGAAGAGCCTAGATATTTAATTAGCCTACAATATCAAAAACACTAACTAGATCTGTGATCTTTTTATTAAATGTAGTTGATAATTCTTTTGATTAATCCAGAAATATTAGTCTGTATTTAAAAGAAGTACTACCTAATATGTAGTAAACTCTCTTCTTCATACAATTTTTGACTATAAATATTTTTAATACAATTGTAACTATGTTTTTTCCTTAAAACAGTCCTTGTAACACTGCTGAAGCTTTGTAGAACACAATCTGATTCTAAAGATGCCACTACAGTAAGTATTTAGATGTAACCATTTTAAATTTTTAAATAAAATACATATATTTTAATGGATTTTAAATGCACTATGACTTTAATAAAAATATTTCAGTTTGGCTGAAGTGTTAATACCTTCTGTATGAGTACTCTCTCCGTATTTCCTCAAAGCATCAAATAAAGAAATTATTACGATAACGACGAAACTATTTTTGGTAATTGAAGAAGTACAGTAATAAAAATGATAATCATTCGATTTAACTATTGAATGCCCAACCTACTGTTAAGTTTAGATTTTGTTCTAAGTGTTCAAAATTTTGCGTGCACCTTTCGTGTAGATTAACTTCAACACTATAATAGAAACTAAAGAGTTGTAAGAATCATTAGAAATCACTCTAAAATAAGCTTAAATCTAAAAAAAGAAGAAAAAAAGGCAGACGTTGTAGGCATTGTAGAAATTGATTGTTTTCCAACCTGATCTATTTTTATTTTATTTTTATCAACGTGCATTTTCCATGTTTTTCCATGATATTTAATTTTAAATAATGTGATGTTATTTTTATGATTGACTTATTCATAATTAGTATCTCAGTGGAGATTTTAATATAAAAATGAATACTGATCCATACAATTATCGCCACTAATTTATCGCCGTTTCATAATTGTAATGAATCGCCATCATATTCTTACGTTTTTGATTCTGATTAATTCTATAACTTACTAATGACTATTCTAGAAAATTCCTAGTCGAACGATTTTCCTCAAAAATGGAAAGAACAATGATGTTATGTATAAACTAAAAACAACCCAGAGACTCTGATGGAGCATTAATGTAGGTTGATTATTTGAATAAAAGTTATGTATTAATAATTCTTAGGTTTTCTTTTTTTTTTAATATTTATTTTTTATATTACCAAATTTGTATTTCTTTGGGATTACTAAACACAGGTAATTTACTCCCAAAGAATATTTATTAATACTTTTAAGTTTTTAGTAAATTTGTTTTGCTTAAAACTCATATCCTATAAATTTCATTTTCATAAATAATGAATGCATTAAAATTTCATATTTTATCGAGAGCATTCATTTAAATGGTCCAGTTATAGTTATAATAAAAGGACATAATAACTATTTTTTCACAAGTAACTTTAACTTTTAAAAAAATTATTTATTATTTATTTATTATTAATCATATTACTCAGCAGCACAGGTGTAGAATTAGAGGGCACCACTTTCCAACGCTTTCTGTAGTTTTCCAAAAATGTAGAATTTTTTCATTTTTTAAAAATCTTTTTTTTTCTTCTTCTCTTAAAGTTAGCACTTTCGCTTCAAAAGAAAAGTGTGTTCGATCTTTGTTTTTTTTATGAATCTCAACATATTTTTTTAAATAAAAATATTCTCGATCAAAATATAAATTTTTTTTAATGAAAACTATAGCGTTGTATAATTAAATTCCTTAAGATCCTATCTCACTTTCGATGCTGAAAATACGAGAAAATGGCAGTTTGAAAAAAAGTTGTACAAATAATAATAAAAACTTAATTAATTTCATTAGTGAAAATCTCGATTCAAAATGCCCTGCATAATGTTTTTACTGTTTTTTTTTTCTTCTCTATAACTCTCTTTCTTCCTTTTTGACCAAATATTACTGAAACACTTTCTATATTACACTTTCCATATTACTTAAATTTAAAAAGATGTCCTTTTTACAATATTAATCACACATACATTTTCTTTTCTCTTTTGACAGACTCCAGTACCTATAGGCCATTTTCTCACACCAACTGACGGTAAGTTTTTTTTTTCTTCTTCCAATTCTTTTTTAAATGGGCTAAGAATTAATTAATAATTACAAGACAAAAATACTCATCGATGTTTGTTTTATGTGCTTCATTGATTATATTGAATTTTAGCTTAACTTTTCTTTCTCTGACATTGTGTCACACAAGTCCAGGAAATGAAAGGTATGCATGTGCATGAGAAGTAAGATGATATATGGATAGTAAGTGGTCTTGCATTCAGTATTTACCGACGGGTAAAAATTGAAATAGATTTTAGAATCTGAAAATAATGTAATTATTAAAAAAAAAACTATTAACTTACTGTAAAATGATGCACGTTTTGATAACGAAAATATAAAATAAATCCTAAGTGCTTTGGCTTTCCAATATCAGCAGGCTTGCTTGATGAAACCAAGGCAAAGGATGCATTTTTAAGGCAAAGGTATCGTTTGTTTCTTTCTACAAGAATGCGACTTCAGCCACACACACGTCACAGCCCGTTTATAGGGCAGACCCATTCATACATTCATCCACAGATCTTTATTTAGACCTGAACCAGAGAAAGATCAATCTCTTCAGTACGTCCAGTGTTATGATTTGTTATGGGAACATAGAAGACTTTGTGACCTACTGATTTAAGTCACCAGTCACCATTTACTACACGGAGAGTCTTCGGCAGGCTGGGATCAAACTCACGACCTCATGGACATGGGCCAAACACCCTACCAACCAAACTATCCCGGCCCAACGCTTCGGTATATTCGATATCTAGCTAACTTCTGTATCTTTACACTACAACTGTTAACAATTTAAAAATTTCTCGTAAATTTCATAAATGTAAAATAGTCGCGAGTACTTTTTAGTTTGGCTAGTAATTTAAGAACTGAAATTTTCTACTGTAAGTCTTCCAAATTCTACACTTTTTACATCACCTTCTGTAAATTTTGAGGAAAAAAATCTACAAGTAATTCTTTTATATATTTTGAACTAAACACTATTTAAATTATAATTAAAATTTCTCCACATCAATATTTCCAATATAAGCCTTTTGTCTATCAACTTTAAACCCTTTAACTTGATGGTGAGCATGACTTTTTTAAGATTTTATTAATTGTTTTGGAGTGGACTGCCCTTTAAAATATTTTTTTAAATTATTGTTTAATGAATAATAAATTCTGTGTGTTGTGTGTTAAAAGTACTTTTATAATGATTTTTCAGATGTACTGACGAAAGATGTAGCACCAGATTTTACTTTTGCTGTGTGGGATGGAAACGGTAAAATATGCATATTAGCGAAATTCGCCGCCTCTTTTAAGATCACATATCCTAGCATAGCGGGGGAACAAGTAAGCTCCTTTATTTTTGCTTAAGTTAAAGTATACTATTTCGAAAATGTGTACAGTACAGGAAGGAAAAAAACGGAATAAGTTATGATCCACGTCTCTTCCGTGTACTACTAAAGTGTAGCCGCGTGCAAAGTTTTATTTTCACGTGAAAAGTTTAATTTTTGAACTTTCAGCTTCCGTCAGCTTTTTTTAATTTTTTTTTATAAGCAGCGCATAGATGTTGATGATTTAAAATAACAAAGCATTTAATGCAGAACTTGCACTAATTTATAAAGAAAAAAATTAATTCTCTAGAAAAATGCCCTTAAAATGAAAAATATATTTTAAAATTCGTAAAAAAAAAGGATTAAAATCTAAAAGGTGAAAAACTGACCGAAAAAACAACAGTTAATGATTTCACATCCAAATGTATAATAAAGGCAACAAAAAAAATTAATATCAACATAGTCTAGTCCTGGTGATGACGTTAAAACATTTCGATATAAACATGTTAGGACAAATAAAATTAAAACAACTTGGAAAAAACATTTCGTACTGACGCCGTTTATAAATTATCACGCGATCAAATAAATATTGAAGAGCATTTTTTTCTATTAAAAACTGCGTTTAAGCTGATCGCCATATAACGATAAAAAAGAAGTTGTAGAAAGTTCCAGAAAATAGTTGTGATTCGTGGGAAAAAAATGTCACAACACTGGGTAGAGCCATTAAACTGTTTTTATGTAAAGAATCTCTGTAACAATGATTTTAAACATTAGATTTTCACTAATTTTTTTGTTTTCAATACTGCGCAAACTACAGTTTCCTCCTTTAGAGGAAACTGAAGTTGGATGATTGTTCTAAGAACTATCCCGTGGAAATTTGTGAACTGCAGGGGAAAAGAACGCGATCCTAATGGGTGCACCCACACTTGAGAAATTGAAGTATACATACACAAATGGAAACAAACTTTCAATTTTATGTATTTTAACCGGTGCTGATAAACCAACCCAATTTTTAGTTTACGACTTCCAATGTTTTACTCCGTGCCCTTGCAATTTTGAATCCAACTCAGAAGGCAACTTCTTTCTCAAGCATTGGGACAAACATGCCTTCGTGATGGACTTTTTGATAGAACTAACCAGCATTTGCGTTACATGGAGATAGAAAATCACCAAAACCTTCTACTATTTGTCCGATGGCAAGGGGGGGGGGAATCTAACCACTGAGAATGTTTTACGCCAGCACTGTGGTCGGTGCAAGCAGGGAGTAACAACCATCACTGGGAGTCGAACCTGGGTCGCCTTTTAAAGAGGCCCACGCGACCCCCAGTATTATGCATTGAGAAACATGATTTGCATGAGTCATTTTAATATAGTTACCTCCTTTCCTCAACTTATCACATGTCACCTACCAAAATCACACATTCCTTTAATTATCCGTATTAATAGGGAGATTTAGCGAGGCCATTTTGCATATCATCACGTTTACGTACTGATATGTGATAACTGAACATGCCCACAACGGAAACTCCTCAATTAACGGATTCTTAGTTGCTTTAAACCACACATACGTGAACGTAAAGTGATAGGAAACAAATCTCTCTCGTAAAAACCTAAAAAAATTTTTCAGTACAAACATTTTGGTGACGATAAAAAGAAAATCCCAACACAAGGTTGGCGTAAAATTACATTCTTTCTGAGCAGTAACTCATGAAGCTGAAATAAAAATTATAATTAACTTAATTCTGATATGAGGTGTCACTATGTAAAAGTAATGAAGCAATTATGAAATAGGATACTGCAACTTTTAGAAATAGCCAACTTTTTGAGCTTCGTTAATTAAAAATCCTAATGAAGATAATTTTTGACGGAAAAATGTAATTCTAACTTTAAATATTATAGAATATTTCGTATTTCAATGAAAATTTACTAAAAGTTGCTATGTAAATGAGTGCAATGTAAACAGTGTACAATGTTTACAGTGTAACAGATAGTTACAATGTAAATTTAATGCTACACGCTGCATGGCTCTTTTCCACTTCCAAACTCAGTTTATGTAGTTGAAAGTCCTTTCACCTCATCTACGGTTTTGCTTTTAAGATTGATTGTTTTTATACATCGAGCTTGTGTCTTATGTTACAAGATAAAATCGACAATACATCGTTCGGCCAATTGAATAACCCAATTCTATCTAAATGTTCGCCTTCATTTTGAAATGTACCAGGCTAATGACCAACTTCACAAATTTTCATGTTGTGACGTAGCTAAGTTAACTGTTAACCGAGCTGGGAGTCAAAACGTAAATATTTTCTTCGTGAAGCTACAGTTTGTCTACGGTAAGAACTCCTCCCTCCACAAAGTCTGAAACCATATGCAGCTATGGAAACAAGAATAGTGCATTTCAGGGAGGGTAGCTTCTCTTCTCTCTAGTGCTAGACCGAAGAAAATGATTCCCTTTCTCACCCTGACCAGAGCCAAAACCTGTCCTAAACAAAAACTCCCTCCTACTTGAAATAGTTATACCTCGTTACCATAGTCACCGCCATGGGTCTGGACGAATGGCTAGGGGAGCTCTTACTTTAGACAAACTATACTTCATCATAGCTTTGAGTGCGAACAAAAACCGATTCTGAAGCGTGCGAGAGGTTTTCCCTTTCTAAAATATACACAAAGCAAAGCTTGTTTCGTAAAAAACGGTAAAACCTCTTTCTTCGGAGATCACCATTACTGAAGTAAACATAAATATTTAAACCCAAACAGTTAAGAGGCTCCAACCCATTCTCGTTGCGAATTGAAAAAGTCTCCAATATTTTCTTATTGCAGTGAACTCTCATAACTTTTCTTAGATTAATTAAAAATGTATCATTCCTTACTTAATTAGTCTCATTTATTTCAAGAAATTCATAATAGGCACTGAGTTCCGAAGGCTTATTGTAAATGTCCTTATCAAAGAAATATATGGCAATAAGCCTAAGCAAATTTAGCCTCATGCATTCCAAAATGACATTGATGATTTGAAAAAAACTTAAATATTCAATTAGCCAACGCAAATGTAGGACAATCATTGAAGAGCTTTTGCAGATTAGAAAAGACAGAAGTCTTTTTCATTTAGCCTAACTCAGAAAGGGCGAACCATTTTCGTTCAGTGTACCAGTAAAATTACAGTTTATTATTTTCAGATGCACAGTGTGCCCCTTGTCACAGCTCTTTAAAATAAATAAATGAAAATAGCTGTAATCTACTGGTTTGATTAGAATTAAATTGCGCAACACATTTGCTGTTGTTAACTTTCGCTAAATCTGAAACAAGGTGGTTTCATACAATTGGGCTATATACATAGAATTCATTTTTTCCACATCATTGTGCAAATTTTTCTATTTTCTCATAATTGGAAAGTTAGTTTGGGTTCTAACAACTCATTACTTCTTACTTACTTCCCATGAAATAACAAGCCGTCTCTGGTTTTCCGTACTGTAGCATAGTCACCCTTACGTCCTAGAAAATGCCTCTCTTATTTTTTCTTTTTTCAAACGAAGAAATTTTCAATGATTAAGTAATTAAAATGTTAAGTAATTAATCAGTACTTAAAATGTTATTTAATAAGTACTTCTTGCGTAATGCATACGTGCCAAAGATTTGACATCTCGACAGTGACAATTGGTATTTGCAAAATTATTCAATGGGTCATATATTGACAATATCTGAGGTTGTTTCTCTGTTCTTCATTTTTGATGCTGTTGTTGTTTCTTTAAGGCAGTTTTTTTCCCATAGCAAGAATGAAAATGTGTTGTGGTGAACCCTATAAGAGATGGGATCATTTCCTTTACCATTTATTTAAGTGTAAAGCATTTTTAATCATTTGTTTGCAGCACATCTCAGTGAATATGCCTGAAGATGCTAAAGTGAAGGGAAGGTGTGGGACTTTTGACAGAGAACCCATACTTGAATTAGCATGGCCAGGATTCCGATTAGTTATGTCTTTCACGGTGGTACGTTTCATTTCTTCTCCTTCCCTTTTTTTTTCTTCGTTTAAAATAGAATGTGGATTTCTAAGATGTTCTTCTACTTAACAGGTAAATCCAAAAGAAAATCAAAACACTTGGGAGTTATTGTCAATGGAGCTCTTGTATGATACAGCAAGTCCACTCTTTGATGGGGCAACAAATGGTATTTAAAAAGCTACCCAAATTATTAGATTTTAACTTAAGAAAGAAAAATATGATAGAGGGTTAGGGATGCAAATATTTGGTTGTTACTGTTGTCGTTCATTTACGTCGCACTAGAGCTGCGCAATGGGCTATTGGCTTCGGTCTGGGAAAGATCCCTTGAGGATGATCAGAAGACATGCCATCACAATTTTGATCCTTTGCAGAGGGGATGGCACCAAGTCGAGCACTTAACTGTAGAACAGTTTAACGAGGACCCATATCGCGCACCCTCGGTCCCTACGCAGACTGATTCAAGCGGTCATCCATCCGCTCACTAAATTTTGCAGGGGAGCGCACCTAAGTCTATGTACCACACTGCCCTCTGAACTCGGTAATGAAAATCCCCAGTAATTTCCGAGCCAGAAAACTCCACTCAAGGTTATTAGGCCGTAAGAAAGCTAAGTTAGTACTACCGCCATCTGCCTTCTGATCTAAATTGTGTTTGTGCTCGCTTCGGATCATTATAAATGATTAATATCAAACCATCGCCAGATGTGCATTAGTGTATCTGTGGCATCAACAACCAAATCAAACTAATCTAAATTTCATAAAATGAAACCATTATTTCGAGTTAATAGTACAAAACGTTTTTCCTCTGCGAAATAATAGTTTTGAAACTTTCTTTTTGTCGAATAATAATAGAAATAATAAATGCCCGAATCGCGAAGCAAAGATTTAGTTTTAATTTATATTTACTATCTTGCCGTGATCTGTGCTTTAGATAGGACAAATAGCTTAGATTGTTAAAAAATAAATATTAATTTTTTAAAAAAAAAATCACCAATTTGTCCGATTTGTCACATTTTTACACCTTAGAGAAAATTATTAAAATGAATGAATATTAGTTTTCTACTTCTAAAAGTTTTTACAATCCTAGACAATTTAACATTGGAGCACTATTCAGATATTTTATTTTATAACCGTCGTTGAACAGCAGACCCAATTTTTTGGGTTTAAGACTATCAATATCAACTTCGTAACCTTGTCATTTGAACCCAATCCAGAAGAAAGGGAACTCCTTCCTGGATCAAGTATTGGAAGAAATTTGTCTTCGTGGTGGACTTTTTTGTGTGAAACTAACCCGCATTTTCGTGAAATGGAGAGGAAAACCACGAAAGCCTCTCATGGTTAGCCTGACTGCAAGGGAACTCTAACTCATGATCCACCTACCACTGAGAATATTTTTAAGTCAGTGATCAGTGCAAGCCGAATGCGGAATTCGTATTGGCCAGCCATCGCTGGGATTCGAACCCGGTTCACCTCATTGGAAGGTGATCGCTCTATCCCCTGAGCCATAACGGCTCACTATTCAAAGATTGAAAAACGACAACTACTTTTCATCATTACAAAACTGTGAGTTTCATTTACGTTTACATTTTCAAAATTATCATAGGGTGCATAAAAATAGGCAAAATTTAACCTGAATCACTTGCAAACGCGCAGAAGTTACGACTAAGCGTTTTTTCATATGAAAACAAAACGCTTCGAAAAACATCCTTAAACTTTGAGGTAAGGTAGGGGTTAGTCATGAAATGAACAGATCTTTGAAGGAGAAAAAAATAATAAAATGAGTGATTTTTGTTCATTAGTTGGGAAAAAGACTGTTCGTACCCTGGAGGATGGATTATTTGCGACTCCCTACGGCAAATCTTACTTCTGCCCGTCTCCTGACGTCATTCCCATGTACGACTCCAGAAAGGAAAGAGTTGTCTTGACACGAATGAAGGACGTCCACCTACAAATGTACGATGTGCAAATGGGCAAATTTTCCCAATGTAAGTAAAGTATCATTTCATATATAAAAGACCTTGCGCTCTCTTTCCAGCAATTTAACAACTCTGTTGTATTTATTTATTCGTTCTAAGTAGGTTACATTTATGGATGTCTATAGTTTGTCTATATAAAAAAGAACTCCCCTCGAGACGAAGTCTCAGGTCGTCTGCTGATACGGCAAATAAGCGCATTTCAGTGAGGAGGGCTGCTCTCTTCGCTGATTCACTTTCTCTCACACGATGACCCAACATCCCGACTTGAAATAGTTAAACCTCGTTACCACGGACACCGTCACTACTCCAGACGAACGGCTGGGGGAGTTCTTTGCATAGACAAACTATATATGGATGGTTAACTGAATTGAAACAATAACAAACTTTCACAGACCGGAACGAAGTTTAGAAAACTTCCGGTGTATCCCTCCGCTTATGTTTCCGCTTATAAGGCGATGTGTGAACAGGCTTGATATACTGATATTGAAGTAAGTTCCAATATTGTGATTTTTTTTCCTTCAAATTTACGGGAAATTTTACCAATCATAAGAGTTTTCTATAATTTATAAATTCTAACAGGTCGTGAGACATAGAAAATTAATATCTCAACATAAATATAGTGTTCAGTTTGCCACTTTTTTAGTGTTACCATTTATTTGGCTATAAGTGTGTAAAATATCTCCGGTTGTTATTTTTTTTGTTGTATCATAGCATGTTTGAGAGTAATTTGTTATTTGTTTCATTGAAAAGACGCGTAATACTGTGAACACTACAATTATAATAATATGGGATGGCGCGCTTGTCCAAGCTTACGCGTAAAAATCAATCGGAAGTAGTAAACCGGAAGTGCTACGGCGCCACCTGTACTTAGCTTTATACACTCAACCATCTATAAATAAAAATCAGATAAATGCAATTCATGCATTCTCCATGGAAAAATAAACCCCATGGTATGATGCAGCTCTCTGACATGAAGTTCAAGGTTTCTTTTCCTTTTTTTTTTCCACATCAGCATAAAATTAATAAACGGTTATAAAGGTGTTTTACTAATAAAATTTATTTATCATCTTTTTCTTAATATTATAGCTATTAATACGTTTTTATTTCGATTAATACTCCAATTTAAAGGCTTGAAGCTAAGAGCGTTATTTCTTTAAAGTAATCCTACATACGCTTCGTACACTGATGTCCCTAAATCTCAAAGCATTTTACAAATATTGTATCTATATATAGATGTGTGTGTTTAAAGGTACTTCTTTGACTAAGTAACATTTTCAAAGATTCTTAGTAATAATCTATCTAACAATGTCACATATAGGGCATATGTTTTTTCCATGGGGATGCTTTCGTAGTTGGTGTCAGTAATATTTGTGCTCATCGGAATTATTCATATAAAATTTGTTATACATGACTCATCGCATTTGGTGGTCCGTTTTCATCGAACCACCAAACTCGTGGTCAATCTTCATCCCAATTTTTTTTTCGAAGTATTACCTGGTGGCCGGCTTCTCCAAATTTGGTTTTGTTGCCTTTTTAATATATTTCAAATTTCGGTTATTTTTTTAGTTCTCGGTGAACACTAAATTTTGATACAAGAGCAACGTCGAGTTGTAATGCAGCAGTACATGTGAAGAAGGGAAAAAAAGAAGAAAAAACAGCACTTTAACAATTTCTGATTGTCAATTGGATTCTCACATGAGATAAAATGTTAGTCATTCGAGGGGTAGACCTTAATGACAAGTCTATTAAATAGTACACACTGTAAGTTCATTAATAAAATCAGGCTCAAACGAAGTAATTTCTATGACATTGTATTATCTGAAATTTCCATTTCCAGATTAAAAGTTAAAAGGTGGTCCATTTTACAACCTTTTTACATTTCGTTGTTCTAACCGACCTGATTAAAACGTCCTTTTAAACAATTTTTTCTTCTTTCCTTTTCCAGTTCAACGATGTAGTTTAGTCAGAATAGGAGGATTACCGGAGCCTTTCGGTTTAGACGAGACAGTACCAATTGCAGTTGGCAGCACATTGGCTGTGATGTCCGTCTTAGTGGTACTTGGCTACGCTCTCTGGCGGAATGTGGCGACAAGGAAAACTGATTATGACACAGTGGAATGAGCAGAATACATAGGAGAAAAACTTAGGAAAATCAATTCATTTCGTAAATAATGTTAAAAGTGTTGTAAACAATTAAAAAAAAATATTAACTATTGTTGGCGGTTTTAGAGCGAGAAAGAGCAAAATAATTAAAAATAATTTTAAAAAAATAGAGCAACAAATAGCAATAAATAAATTTAAACAATCAAATTGCATATGTACTAAAAAAATATTTAGAACTATGCATAGAAAGCTAATTCCCTGTTAAATGCTCTGTTATTTGTTTCATTGNTTTTTTCTGATACATAAACTTGTAATCCAAATTCAACCTTTTGCGGATCAAAAACAAATTATTTTGAGATTCAAGATCGACATTAAACCTCCAACTATCTTTATTGTAAAAACTACTCATATTTTTTGTTAATTTACTTCATTTGGAATTTATTTAACATTTTCAGAAACACTTTTTGTACTAGCAGTCCGAATAAAAAAAAATTTCTGAAACAATTCCAAAATTTTAAAAACAATTCGCACCTCTTTTTTAAGGCTCCTAAAATTCCAATTATGTAACTTGTTACACAAAATTCTGAAAAATAAGTTAATAATTAAAAAGAAAAAAGAAAAACATGCGCTACATTTAACGATTGCGAATATATGTGATTTCGATAAGAAAAACAATATGAGAGCGATTTACACGCAATTCAAATTGGAAAATCCATTCGGGCAAAAAAGTTCAAGGTTATACCTTTTATTTTTCACCAGCTGTTCAAAATTGCAGTCTTCCGTATGGTTTTCCCCGATTAAAATAGTTACATTTAAATTACGTTCCATCATCGATTATTTTGATAATTATTCAAAGATTATCATGTCCTGTTAACCATTTTTAATACGTAAATTTCAAATTTAAATTGTAGTTGCAGGTCATTTCCGTATTATATTGCAACACCTGACTTTAAAAAAAAATGTTATAAAAAAAATATACATTTGTCCCTTGACTTAGAAAATGCTTACTGCAAATACATCTCACTCCCATATCGCGACAATTATCGGAAGAAAAAATTTTACCTCTTGCATAATTTTTAGAGAAATGATTAGTTAAGGGAATATTTTTATAGGAAAATATTATTAACGTGGTTATTAATTTTTGGGATATTTTACGTCAAATTTAAAGAAGAAAAAAATTTTTTTAACAGCGTGATTCAATTCTGTAAAAAAAACTATTTGCAAAAGGATAATTGTGATATTATGCAACGACGTATTCTTAATTCAGATGAGCAAGGCGCCTCACTTAGTTTAAATTTCGAATTAATTTTGGTGGAATTAAGTAAATTATATTGACAGTTTTCTAATGTTAAGGATAAACTATTCTCAGTGAAATTATAACTTTTTGCAGAACTACTTACGCTTATGACTAAATATATATATATTTGCCCATTTTTTAGAAAAAAATATCGATATATATATTTAGTTTTTAAGTTATTAAAAAACTGAGTTTTAGTGAATTTTATTTTGATAATCCGAAAAGATTAATGAAAAATTTGATTTTTTTTTTAATGAAAACCTGCTAAATGTAATTTAAAATGTTTTTACTAAGTTTAATTAAAATGAATGCTCCTCTATTATAAGAAAAGATTAACGAAAAATTAGAATTTTTTTTTTTAATGAAAACTTGTTAAATGTAATTTAAAATGTTTTTACTAAGTTTAATAAAAAGGAATGCTCTTCTATTATAAGTTCAAAATTTAAAAATATCATTAAAAGCATTGAATAATAAAATTCTCAGCTCTAAAAATAAATACTTTTATGAAAATATACTTTTATGAGTATTTACGATAGTGCATCGAAAAAAATATAAATTACTTTTAAAAAAATTTTTTTTAGCTAAAATTTCAGCAATTCCTCAATGACATTAAAATCAATTTGTGTAGATAATTAAAAACAAACTTTGTACATAGAGTTAATTTAGTTTCAACTTGGTACTCGTAATTAGTATTGTAAATGCTGGCAAGGATAATTGTTAATAATATTGTCCTTAGGAATAAAAACTGCCTTATTTATCAATATTCAAAATTTATTTATATTTCATAACAACAGAAAATAAGCGGATAAACTTGGAAAATTTATCTGTGGTATATTTGATACTTTAGCGGAGTATCCTTCTCACATGGCGTGCTTTCAGTAGATTTAGACATTTTGAATTTAATTACTTTCTTTTTTAATTTAATATCTAATTTATGGAAGGGAGCAAAATGTTCTAACAAGCCAAAAATATTTAGATCTTTTATGTTTAAATTTTACACCTTGCAAAAAAAAAGGAATAATTCCTGTTAAGCACAATTCATACATCAATACAAGTTTTGCTTAATACTTTTTAGTACTGACGATTTAATGAACATTTTAGTCAAGAAGTGCTATGATTATACAAATTACACCTTCTTGATCAAAAGATTTCAGCTGTTAGTCATTTTAGTAAAAGGAGTAAATATGAAAACGATGATCTAAAGTTTATAACATTTCCGAATATAAATGATGTATTATTTTGCCAATTTCCAAAAAAATAAAAATAGAATATAGTGTTTAAAAAAAATAGAATATTTAGACTGATATGTGATTATAGATTTATTTATTTAAAATAAATTGAAAAATGAAAGACCTATAAAAAATGGATTAAATGCTAATACCTTTTTCAAACTGATTATATTTCTAATTCAGATATATGCTATAGCTTAGCCCCAAAGGACAACTTTATTAAAAAATGCTTCAAAATAAAATAAAAAATGTAATTATTTTTTTTTCAATACATAAACTTTTGCTCCCGACATAAACATTGTACAATACTGACTTAAGTACATAAAATTCAGCAAAAATAGAATTAGTAATTTGTGTTTTTAACTGTATGAGGAGATTCTAAAGTACCGATACCTCAGCAATAAATATGCTTCATTATGAACTATATTTTATTGCACCAATACAAATTTAATAATCCACCCATCATTCTATAGGATGTGTTTATGCATGGATAATTCGTACAATGTCTCCATTTTTATGTAAGTTAAAATTATGAAAAAAATAATGGTTCACTAATGCATTGTGTGCCGCAGTGACTGCCCTTAACATTTTTTTTATTAGTTTTTCTGAGAGCGAGAAAAATTCACAATAGAGTTCGTAATTAATATTTAAAGAACTATCAGTCTATGATGAATCATCATAGACATAGAGGATTTGAAAATAATATAAATAATGGAACATCAATTGCACATTAAGAGCAACTATAACAGGATTGCTACAGGGAAAAGCTGCAAAATTCAGGGAAATCACCAAAATTAACTGGGAAAATACAGAAAATTTAGATTTTTATTTTAGTCTTTTGAAAAATGGTTGACCACTCAAGGGTATTTAAGGAAGATATTTTAGCTATACTATTTCATTTACTAAGGCATTATTTAAGTATGTTCAGCTGTTCCTTGTATGTTCAATTTTTCCAGCAATTAAAACAAGTATAGTTACAACAGGGTGCGTAGCCAGATTTTTCAACAAAAAATAAGCACATTCTAAGCACATTCATTACCAAATTCTCTTCTACTTTTTAAGCACTTTCCAAAAAAAAAAAAAATCATAATTAGGTTCTGTGCACTAATAAAAAACTACTTTTTTTTCTACAGTTTAAAGTTTTTAGTTTCAAAATATAATATCAATAAAATTCAAAAAAGTTTTCAAAAACTTAACATAATCAGGATAGAATAACTAGTTTCTGATAAATATTGCGGAGAAAATTGCGAAACTCGTGCATTTTTTGTAATTTAGATCGACAATCGATACGATAAAGAAAAAATTGCTTTTCAAAAGATAGAAAATTGAGCGATTTTTACAAATTCCGAATAATACAGATGGCTACAGTTTTTTTTTTTTTTAATCTTAATACATCGTGCACAATAATATGCAGGGAAAACAGAGAATTTCTTCCCCCTCCAGATTTGAGTGGCAACCATGTATTAACTTAAATTGAGATCGATAGCAAACTCCCTATCAAATTTATTCATAAAACCACTTTTTTTTTTTGGAAAGCTAAAAATGGAAGAATAATTATTTCATTATCTTCGTTTATCTACTCAGCGTGATATTAATATAATTCTTTTAATTCGATTCTTTGATATTTCTTATTAAAATTATTTAGTAGATTGCATTAAAAGAATACCCATTAAATTCAAACATTGATTTTTTTATCTTACTTTCAAAAACACACATTTTAAATTAATTTAAGATAAAAAGTGAAGTATCAATACTTTCCTAAAAATGTTGATTTTTATTAAATCAAAAAATAAACTAACCGCTTCCCTTACCTACTTTTTTTGAAAGAAAAAAAAAATGCAAAAAATCAATATATATTTTCTTATTTTATTAATAAATACAAGGAACTAAAACAAAACATAATACACAAGTTCTAAGTTGAAATTTTAATTTTTTTTATGCCTACAAAATATTTAATTTACCATCAGTTTACTATCCCAAATTATCTAAAAGTTAAGTGTTAGTCTTTGTATATGTTCACATTTTCATCATCTGTATTACTATCACTTTTGCTCTCGAAAACCATTTTTTTACTCTTTTTTTTTTCTTTGTAAATTCATCGTATATACAATTACACAAAAGATGTCTGCAGTCCCACAAATAGCAAAACTCCTGAACAAAAATTGTCAAATTTCCAATCATAGCAAATTATTATTATTTGTTTTGCTTCGGATAAAACAAAACGCATTGACGAATTCTGCTATGCCGGAGTTATAATAAATATTTGCAATATATACATACCCGAGTTAAATCTGGATAAATTATTTTGGAATATAAATGCATATTATTTGAAATGCATTTGAGCACTATAAGGTTTAGAATCTCTTGCATACACAATTTCATAATAACTCACTATTTCAAACACGTACACAAAAAGAAAAGCAAAAAAATGTGTAATAATGTTTCTGAAGCTTTGCACTGTAACTTGTTTTTGTAAAGATTAGCGAAATGTTTCCATATAAACGATCTTCTAGTAAGAACATATTTAAAAAATAAGTTGTGATCTCTGAATGTCTTCCATTTATCTATCTACATTGTAAATAAAGATCTATGTACTTTGCCATTGTTTTTGGAGAAATGTCAGCTTGTTTACATGTATTAGATGATATAAAAGTACTACTTAAATGGCGACATTTCACTAATATGTCTTCCAAATAATAGTGAGAAAATTTATGAATGAACTCTTCCAATGTTATTGTATCATAATTTTGAATGTTATTTGTGGAGTTTTGTTTTCATGATGTTAATTAATAGTATCTTATATTAAAAAAATAAGAAATCAAGAGTTGTCAGTTTATTTACGTCTCTATCGTGATATTCTATAACACAAGTCAGGGTCGGTAAGGTTTTTTACCAACTTCTATCAACTGCCCTAACTCTCCTCCCGACACTAAGTCAGATGCCGTCATGGCGCATTTTAGGGAGGGTAACTTCACTCTAGGACTAACACAATAGACCCAAGGAATAGATTTCCTTCCTCTCGTCGAAACTACTCCAAAACAGTGACCCCTCACCCCTACTTCAAATAGTCATACCTCGTCACCGCCACAGATCCAGACGAATGTCTTGGAAAAACTGAAGTTCCGTTAGAGTAATAAAAATACCTTAAGGAATAAACTACAATTGTTGTTGTTAATTTACGTCGCACTAGAGCTGCACAATGGGCTATTGGCGACGGTCTGGGAAACATCCCGGAGGATGATCCGAAGACATGCCATCACACTTTTGATCCTCTGCGGAGGGGATGGCACCCCCGCTTCGGTAGCCCGACGACCTGCGCGCGAAGTCGAGCACTTTACGGTAGCACAGTTTAACGAGGACCAATACCGCACACCCTCGGTCCTTACGCATACTGATCCAAGTGGTCACCCACCCGCACACTGACCGTAGCCAGTGATGCTTAACTTCGGTGATCTGCTGGGAACCGTGTCTTAACGATCAGTCCACTGCGGGACCAAACTACAATTCAAAATTATTATTCAGTATGGGGGAAAAAAACAGGAATTAAAAACAATGTTACACTTTTTTGTGCTTAACTGTCCAAGACTAGATATTGTACTATAATGTGTGTGAACAATACTAAGCAGTTTGAACAAATGGCAAAAACTATAACAAGTAAAGAATAAAACTAATTTCTAAATGTGCAACTTGAATTGTAAACACATTTAAAAAAATAAATAGAAGCTTCTGTTTTAATTATTTCACTTATTACAAGTTTTAGGTACAGAATTTTAAAATAAAGATATTTGACTTAATGTTATAAATTTTTATCTCATTTACATTTTAGAATTTAGATCTTAAGAATTCATTTCAGATCTTAAGAATGCAATAATTGAGGGATTTCAATTAATACTAAATAATTATTTAAAATATTAAAAGAAATGTATAATGAATTTATTTTTTACAGTGATTAGTAGGGTGCGATTTCGTGTACTAACAAATTGCTAGTTAAGAAAAAAAAAAGGTTAGTCACAAAAAAATGCAGCAACATAAGTAAAAGTTGTGAGCAACTTCAAATAGTCTAGATTTTCATTTTTCTATGTGCGTTGGGTGATTTTTCAAATTCTAATGTTTTTAACATAATGTTATTACATGTGAATATCAATGATGTATTATATATATCAATATTACATCATTATTATAATATATTATTATAATATCAATATTACATATGAGATATCAATTCATGACGCTCTTGATTAACAACGATTATATCGTTAATCATTATCTTTTACCGATCATTTCTTCCATAGTTAACTGTTTTAATTTCCAATGGCAAAACAAGAACATATAAAAAAGAATAAAAGAAAAACAGTAATAAATATAGAAGTAAAATAGAAATCAAAGTGACCAAAGTCATTGACTTAAAAGGCCTAAAGCATGGAATTGAAGTGTTGTGCCTGAGTCACTGTAAAGTAATGCACATAGACCGAGATCATTCAATGGAATCTGTTGAACTACAGAAGGGGCAGTCGGGATTCGAAAAGATTCCAATACGATGAAGATAATATACTATACAAAAGATGGAGATAGACAGTCATAAGGATTAATAATAATTTTAAAAAGAAAAAAAAGGTGAGACTGAAAATCATATTAAAATGTAGGTAAAAGGACACAATTTTTTTTTTGTTGTAAAAAGTAAATATAAACTAGTAAATGAACACCAAGAGCTACTTTATAAGAAACTTTTATTAAAATAGCTTGCCTTAAAAAAATGTATTATAATCTAAAAATATACACATATCATGTTTACATTTGGAAGATTAGCTGTTTGCCATAAAGCTCTAGCAAAACTGAGAGACATATCGTATACTATAAAAATTTCATTGATATATTAATTCATGATCAAGTGGACGGAATGTTGATATTTTTTAACGACAACAGCAGCTAGATATAAACATTTCCAAGGCCCGCGATAAGGATTTCAAATTATTAGCCACTAAATCAGCCAAACACAAATGCAAATCTTAAAAAAATTTTATGAATATTTTTCTTTCCAATGGAAAAAATTATTCAACAATACTTTCGACGAAACACAATTTTATTCGCCAAATAGACATCGCATTTGGCGAGGTGGCGAATGCTTAGAGCAGGCCTCGCATTCCTATCAAATGACACGTTTTTCTCATGCAAGAAATCAACATTTTCAAGATATAGGTCAAAATATTAGCTTAAAACATACTGAATTAAAACAAAATACTAATAAGACTTCAAAACTCTTAAAACAATGAATTTGTAAAATGATATTTTGATTTCAGTTTACCTGCAGCTCAGATATGATATTGCAAAAAAAAAAAAAAAAAAAAAAAAAAAAAAAAAAAAATATTAAAAAGCGTTTGAAAAAAAATTGGAGACTATTTAGTATCCAGAACTCTTAAAATATTTTTTGTTTAAATGCTGCTCCATAAGGTGAAATATAAAAATTTTAGTAATATACAATATTTTACAGCATTTTTTTTTTTTTAAATCTTTTTTTTAAACTTTCAGCAAAAAGACTTATTGATTACAAATAGATGAACTGATCAGAAAATATAATAATTGGAAATTGTCCAGAATATTTTTTTTTCTTCAGATAATGGAATATTCATAAGGTTTTAATTAAATTGTATAGAAAAATTAAACTATTAATAGAAGTATGAAAGACTAAACCTCATTTTGACTGACTAACTAAATGATTTTACAAAAATAACACTTTCAAAAACCATATTGAAAAATCAAAATTGTATCCACTTAATTTTTATTAATCAATGCATTTAAAGTTTTATTACTATTTCTGAAAACTTTTGGCTGTGTGAGTGTTAAATTATTTTTCAACATGTTAAGAATTTAAAAAAGAAAATAAATAACTGGATAAAACAAGAATAGCATGCCTCATAGTCATATTAAAAAGCAAAATAAAATATTTCAAAATCAATATATCACACTTTTCCCAAATAATAAAATTACAATTTCATCAGCTCATCCGGAGTTTTGGGAGTGGCATCATCGAAAACTCTACTGTAAATGAACGTACTGCTGTATCATATTTGTCCAATATTTGGAGATCATTTTTTCCCCCGGCTCTTTAAACTGTATATTTATCTCTTTTAGCATGACATAACCTTTTGCGGATTTTAATCTTTTTATCATTCCTGTCTCTTTTCTTACTGATAAAGATGTAACATTAAAATGGGTATAGGTTTTTAATAAATTTTTACTATTTATTAATTCTAAAATGTCTTTTCAATGAAATTAAATGAGATATGGTTCAGGATAATTCCATTCTAACACTTATAGATAAAAAAATATTAGATTATTACACTAAACTAATACATAAAAATAATTGAAGCATAGATGCCCTTAGAAATCATAACAAATAAAAGTCTTTACAATAAATTAAAGAATCTCTACAAGTAGTTATAAAAAGACGCCACCATAATAAACATGCAGAAAATACCTTTTTATAGATACCTTTATATTCAAGCAAAAAAAATACTATATTTCATTCAATGAATGACATTTTATATACTGAGAATTCAAAAATATTTTTTGCTAAAATTAATAAAATAAATTTTTTTCCCTATAGCAGAATAACATCTGGAGAAAAAAAGCTTTTCCACATTTTTTCATACATATCATATCTGCTGCTGTGTCTATTATATTAAATACTTGCTCAATAAAATCTGCAGTTCCAGATGAACTTTCATGTGGAAATCTGACAACACTGCATGCTTTTACATAAATCAATATACTTAAATATATATCAGAGATTCTGCTAGACTGTGGAAACGACAGGTCCTTAAGGACCCCGGATTTCAGAATTTCTTGGTCCCCTTTTATTAAAATTCAGTCTCCGTTTAAAATATGAACTCTATATCTTATACATCTATTAACATGCATATTCATTATTATTACTACCATTAATGGACAAAACAAGGAATTTCAAAACATGATTTTAAAATAAATATATAATTCAATTTTGGTTAGATATTTGCATGCATAAATGCTGATGTGCTACTTTTTATTAGGCTGGAGAATTATGCATGATAGCTTACTTTTTATCAACACAATGTATAAACGGAATCACTAATTAATAAATAATTATATATATGCGTGTGTGTGTAATATTTACATGGGATTATCTTTCTTTGTATATAAGATTGGTAGTCTGAGTTAATCAAAGAAGCAGAAGCTTCAATAAACAAATAAGTTTGTGAATAGAAATTACGAAATTATCCTAAGAAATGAGGGGTCGCACCTAAATTCAAAACTGATCATCATGGAACAAAAAAATACACTTTTTAAAAAAACTTAAGTCGGCTTCAAAATTTTCTGTTTGCGTTAGACATTAAATAGAGTTGAATAATTTTTCTTTTCATTATGCTTATTATATTTATAAAATGTAGGAAAAGATTCTTGTTCTTTAATAACATGTAGGCTAAACATTTTCTTGATAACAATACATTAATATTTCAAAAGGGATATAAAAATTTAAAGTTTGCAGAAAACTAAAATCACAATATATCATTTCGTATTTTTATGTATTTTAATTATCAAGTAATCTACCTTGATGGTAACTTTTTAAGAGAACTAAATTTTTACGGAATTTTTTAAAATACATAAACAGCAGAATAATTTTAAACTAAATCAGTAAAACTGACAACTATGCAAGGTAAAAAAAAAAATTGAATTAATAAAGGTCATTTATTAAAACTGAGAAATTTAACTTTTTCTAAGTTTCCAAAAACTTTCAATAATCTTATATTTCCATAATCTTTATTTCTATAATATTTGAGGAAAATTCATATTTGGTATTCTGAAAGAATGAATTCTAGGAATTAAGAATAAAATCAAACAATTAAAAGTGATCAAGCGTTAAATAAATGCATGACATAAAACCAAAAAAAAAGCTAGAAATTTTTTTTAAAAAAACTATTTAAGCGTTACACAGAGTATTTTTTTCAAATGGAATGCATAATGAAGAGATATGAAAAATGATGATATAAGAAAATAGTGACTGGTGACTGCTATATACACACAAGAAAAAAAATAAAAATAGATGTGCATCATTTGTACAAACTGTTAGAAACATACAAAACAAAATGTATTTACAAGCTGCATTAAAAAAAAAACCCGTTAAGGTTGTAAACAGACTTAAATACCAAAGCAAAATAGTTAGAATAATGAGTAAATTTACCCCCTGACACACCACATACAAATTAAACATTCTGGTTATTTAAAAAACAAAGGATACAATACACATAAACTATTCATTAAATAATACACATAGTATAAGAGTACTCAAAATTAAAGACATTATTTGTCAACAATAAAAACTCTTAAAGCAATAACATTTCTTAAACTAATAGTAGTAAATTAAAAAGAAAAATTAAATTTTCAGTAGATTAATGTCAGTTGATAAAAAATATACAAACTTAAAAACCTATAAAATTAAAAAATGATGTACTAGCTAAATGCTATAATAAACACAAAAGAAAGAAAAAATGTATACTTGTACTGAGCTGCTTAATACACATAAATCATTCTTACAAAATAATTTTTTTTTTTTCAATATGAAAAGAATAACCTTCATAAATAGCAACCCTTTTTTAATTATATAGAAGGTGTTTGATACCTGATGAATGATAAATCTTTTCTTAACAATTCGCATTCAAAAATCATGTTAGATACTGGAATTTTTTTTAAATCCAAAATATTTTATATAAATCAGTTTTTTTTTTTTTTTTTTAAGATACAACTTTTCTTTAATAGACGAACAAGAACAATATAACAAGAATTTTCTCTTAATAAGTTAACTTTTGTAAAGATAAATTATACTGGAAACACTGTTAAAAATCAATTTTAAGCTATGTTACAGCACTAAAAATGTTTAATTATTGACCACTGAAAAACAAGTCTTTATCCCTGCAAAAATAGCAAAAAATTAACTGTCTCTTTTCAAATGTTAATAAAAAAAAATCAATACTCAATCACGCATTAGGCTGCACTTTGTGTATAGTCCACACCAATTAATATAATTTTTCTAAAAGAAATTGATTACCACAGATGTCTATTTACAATACATTTAAAACTATGAAAATCATTATGAAATTTTAAAAAATTGAAATAAAAAAAAAGTAAACTTTTTTAAATCAATTATTTTTTTAAAAGAAATCAGCTAATTTAAATCAGCGAATTCATGACACTAAAGCTTTAATAGTTAAAAGCCAAAAGTACTTTTTAAAGAATAAAACCTTATGTATAAAACAGAAAAATTAAATATTAGTCATAATAAAAGAGAAATGAAAAAAAAACTTGAATTTTTACTTTTCAGGGGTAATGGTCAATAAACATTTTAATGTTGCTTTGCTACTTACTTTCTTTTTCTTTATTATTACAAATTTAATACAATCAACCCTTGATAATAAGTAGTAACAAACAAATTTAATATAATCTAGATTTTTTTCATTTTTGGAAAAAAATAACAAATATTACACTTTGATATTAAAATTGTATCAGTACATATAAAACTTATTATCTGTAATTTAATTAAATATAATACATTATTGATAACAACAATTGAACTTAATGTTACATTGCGAGAAGTACAATACCAATATTTAAAAGAATAAATTATGCCCACCAAAAAAAAATACAAGTTTCAGGACAAGCCTAAACAGTCCAAGGCGATTTGTATAACACATATCAACAGAAATATTTACATTTATGCAGAAAAATTATTACTTATTATCAAAAATATTTACATTTATGCAGAAAAAAACTTCAAAAGAAGGGAGATATTTTACAATCCATATTTCACTGGCTATGAACAGATAACTGAGAAAAAAAATAACTTAGGCAGTTCTTAAAAACACAGACAAAAAAAATTTAAAGTTTATTAAAAGAAGGCAAAATAAGTTCATTAGCAGGGACTATGTCGGAAACTCCTCATTAATGGCACCAAGAGGCTAGGCGCGCCTGCTTGCATCAAGAAAGGGTGTTGCAACAATTCGCAGGCTGTTGCTCTCTGGGATGGATCACGAACCAGCATTTTCTCCAGAAAACCTTGCAGTCGAGGAGAAACCTGAAATAGCCCACAACAAAATTGATACAGGGTGCGCAGCCAAATCTTTCAACAAAAAATAAGTACCTTTTAAGTACTCAAAAAATATTTTGAAGCACTATATACTTTAACAAAATGCAAAATAATTTTCAATGATTTTATATGATCATAATAAAATAACTAGTTTCTGACAAAGAACTCTTTTCATATTCTACTTGATCATACAGTCAATTCGCTATAACTCGAAGTACGATAACTCGAATATTACTATAACTCGATTTTTTTATGAGGTCCCGACCCTTTTATCTTCAATTTCTTGTTAATTATTCTCGATTACTCGAATTTGACTCCCTTTAACTCGATTTTTTTTTGGATCTTTTAAAGAAAGAAAAAAAATCTAGGAGCTGATATCTTGCCCCTTCCTTTGCAACACACACACAATGTCTTTCGCACTCTTCATGGAGAAGCTAAAGCTGTCCCTCTTGAAGTATGTGAACAGTGGTTAAATGAAACGTTACCAAATTTACTTCAAGGATACAGTTAAAATGATGTTTTCAATATTGATGAAATGGGTTTATTTTTTAAATGTCTTCCAAATAAGACTATGATGTTTAAGGATGAAAACTGCTCAGGGGGTAAAATGAGCAAGGAACGTTTGACTGTCCTAGTTGGAGGAAATGCGTCTGGGACAGAGAAATTGCCCTTACTTGTTATCGGAAAATACCGAAATCCCCGATGTTTCAAGAATGTAAAAACGTATCCTTTGGATTACAAGTCTAACAAAAAGTTTTGGATGACATCAGTTTTATTTGAAGACTATGTAAGAAAATTGGATCGGAAATTCTTCGCTAAAAAAAGAAAAGTGATACTCTTTATGGATAAATGCACAGCGCATAGTGATCTACCTAATTTGAAAGCAGTAAACTTGCAGTTTCTCCCGCCAAACACAACAGCAAAGTTGCAGCCGATGGACCAGGGTATCATAAAGTGCTTCAAACAGTCTTATCGTAAATGGCTTGTCAGAAAAATGATCTTAAATATTGTAAGCAATTAGAAGATTTGTAATTAATAAGCATTAATTAAATAATCCGACAATATTTTGAAAGTCCAAAACCGAAACTAACGGTAAGTCGAACTTCCGATATGTCGAAGTTTTTCGTCAGTCCTATCAGATTCGAGTTAGCGCGAATTCACTGTATTAGCCATTATAAAATGATCGAGAGATTTTTCGATTCGATATAAGAGGGTGGAAAATGAAGCCTGAAATAGAGAATATCTTGCAAATTGCGGTAGAGTTGCACAAGAGAGTGCAATAATCTCATCGAACACTGCTCAGTAGATGCACACGCGGACTACCAAGTATTTCATCAAACATGTAAAATGATTGACGCTTTCATACACTATGGACCGACGGTAAGCCAAAATAGATTATGGTTGAATGAATTGTGAAAACATTGAACAATGTGAAAAGCACGCTTTTGCGTAATACGCGGCGGAAATCGACATGGTAAAACAAAAAAATCTCGTTTTGGAAAAGGGAAAATTAAGTGCTTTTTTAAAAATGCTACGCACCGTGTGATATATTGGACATTTGATAAGGTGACTTCCACCGATCAGGCAAAAATGGACATTATATTGTGAATGCAAAAATAAATAAAAAATACTGTAGATATTTATCCCAGGCTTAGGAATTCCAAAAGCCTGAGACTTTTTAAAACTACCACACAATGTAATAAGTAAAACAATAAATATTTAAAAAAAATAATTATCTAATTCACTCATTAAATTAAATATATAAAATTATCTTTTCTACAATGAAAAACTACAAAATCACTCAATCTAATTTTTCAAAACAGATTGAATGACTGATTTAGCATTTTTTTTAAACACATTATATATGTATTTTCTGTCTCCTGATTTGCTTTCTCAATCAATCGATTCACCAATTTCGACAAAGAAAGAAACAAAATCCAGATTTTTGTTACGTGACTTAATATTTTCAAACAAATCACATTTTTGCGAAAAATGGTTAATACCACCTGGTATTAATTTTCATACTATGACTTTGCATCAATATCCTATCAAAAGAACGAAGAACTTTTGCTCTGAAATGTCTTCACAGTATGAAAGAACAAAATTTAGTTCCTGGAATATCAAGAATCCAAGCAATGTCAAAATTTTCTTAAACCTTTTGCAAACACAAAAAAAAATTAAAAATTTTTTTTTAACTAGGTGCTCAAAGTAATAACTGAAATATTACTCAAATTAGCTATTTCAGCATACTATCATATGTAAATGCAATGCTTTGTAAATGCTTACTTAAAAACAGTGTTAAACCTATTTAAGACCTTTATCAGACATTTTAAAAAAGGTTCTGAAAATGATGAATGATTCACTATATACACTTGAAGTATAAAAACACTAATTAGAGGAATGTTTTTTTAAGGGCTATGAGCAAATTATGTGCATGTCCTCCGATTCTTGAGATAGAACACGAAAATCCGAGACTCCTGCCAAAAGCCATAGAGTTAGGTGGTTCGCAATATATAAACAAAATAGTTAACAGTTTTTATTAAATTAGTGGAAAAAATTAAATACAATCAAAATTTATTAAAAAATTACATAATTATTAATAATTCATTGCATATAACATGCAATAACTTGTACAAAAATTTTATATTAAAGCTAATGTCTTTTCGTCCTTTCTTTCTATAAAAAAATTTAAAGAAAGAATTGACTGCGATTTTTGTTTTACTTCAATCAATTCCAATCAGTTAAATCAAAGTATTTTTAGGAGAAAAATAATAATTTTTATAATAACATAATGTCATTGGTTAAAATTCAGTAATTGAAAATAACAGTCATAATGTCAGCAACATGGCTGGCAAATATTCAGGGTTGCAGGTCCGAATAAGAAATGAAATTTTTTTTAGCTACATTTGAGTCCTGTGCAGCACATTATTTGAATTTAGTTGTTTTAGTGGCAGTAGAGTTTTGTGCAAAAGTTATTTTATTTTTTAGTTTGATTCAACAGTTGTTTAATTTTTTTTTTCATTATCAATTCATAGATGGGGTGTGTTAACTTGTAAACTAAAAAGTGTCCCTGGTGAGACTTTTACTCTAGAATCTTTGTCTGGGACAAGATGGTGTGCTTGTGCTGATGCTACAAAAATGTTAAGAAAAGGCTTGAAACAAGTAAAAGAAGCTTCGAAAAGCTGACAACGAATAGAAAACTACTGCTTGTCATGAAGCAAGTTCCTTACTTTTAAAATTGGAAAAACTGGAGACTGCAATTTTAATAGTTGTGTGGGATATCGATTTGCAAAGAACTAACAAAGCAAATAAAACTTTGCATGCACCAAATTGTTCACCTGCTGTGATTGTACCTTTGTACGATTCATTGCAGCCATGCAAAATAATTTCAGAAAGTAGGAATCTGAAGGAAAGCAACTTGTTGGAGCATGTCGAGGGAGAGAAAAACAACAAGAAGCAAAATGCTCGATGAATCGGCAAGTGAAGAAGTCATGTTTAACAGCTGCAACACTTTTGTTTATAATTGCTTCAATGTATTTTGTGACTCTTTGTTAACAAAGTTAACTAAACAAAAGGATGCCTACATCATTTTAGATTTAAAAAGAAAATTTTTTTATACAAAATTTATTAGGAAAGTGCCAGACAAGAATTAGTGCAAGCTGCTTAATAGTTACAAGAGGAGTGAATCTCGACAGCGTTTTTCTAGTAGAATTCATTCAATTCAAGAGCATGCTACCTGAAGTCAGTGAACCTAAAGATCAATTACAAACTTTGAACATACTTTTCCCAATGTGGACACATTTCTCAGAATTTTTTTTAAGTACTCCTATTTCAAATTAATTCGGTTTTTTTCTGCTTTAGAAAGGATCAAAACTTATTTAAGGTCAAATTTAAAGAAAGAAAATCGTAATAGCCTACTATTATTATCAGTTGAATCAGATATTGCCACATATTTTGAAAACATCATAAGATTATTTGCTGAAAAAAAAGTGGAGAGAAAAAAAACCTTTTTAAAAAATCCATTAAATTGAGTACCTTTAAATGTAGAATTACGTTTTAAGGAGTATAACTTTTTCATTGAATTTGAATTTTTAAAATGAAATGTTCATATCTAAAAAAATTTCAAATGTGTTTTTCATAAAGTAAACATAAAATAAGTACACATAATAAAGTAGATATATAAGCAGACATAAATTTTGCACTTTTGAGTGTTTTGCATTTGTTGAAATGTGTTTTCCAATAAATAATTATAATCAATAACCTTAATTTTATAGATTTTGAACTTATCTTTAAATCTAAGGAAAGGTTGTGTTAGTTTAACTAATGAATAATTACTGCTTAATGATAAAGCAAAAGTTCATGATAATTCTTGTTTTCGATCACCAAATGTCTAGGACTATTTTTATTTGAACATAACTTTGCTTTGTTTTTTCATATTCTGCTTTTATATTGATTTAGTAATACTTAAGATCAAATTTTAAAGCAGTAAGAAACTATTATGTTATAAGTTGAATCCAATATTACTACAGAATAGGATTTTTAAATTCTCATAAAATTATTTGCTAAAAAAAGTGTAAAAAAATAAAAAACCTTTTTAAAAAGTCTTTTCTATTGAATATTTTTAAATGTATCAATATTTTGAGTGTAACTATTTCATTGAATATGAATTTTAATTTTTTTTAAAGTGTTGTATCTCAATAAATTATTATTTAAATGTGTCCTTAATTTTCTGAGAGTAGCTGTAATGTTGGCTCTTTTGGGTATTCTTGGGTATTTCAATGTATTTTTTAATCTCAAAATTATAATTAATAACCTTAATATCCTAATATATATGCTGAACTTATAGTTACATCTAATAAAAAGTCAGCTAGCTTTGTGTTGGTTTAAATACTAAATAAAAGAAATAATAATTACAGCTTACTATAAAAAAAAAATTCAGCTAATCAGTGACTTTTAGCAAAAATCACTGATTTCAATTGTTTGCGGTCACCAAACTATTTTTATTTTCACACAATATTGTTTTGTTGTTTTATATTTTGTTTTAAAAGATAGATGCGTAAACTTTATCTTAGAANTATAGTTACATCTAATGAAAAGTCAGCTAGCTTTGTGTTGGTTTAAATACTAAATAAAAGAAATAATAATTACAGCTTACAATAAAAAAAAAATTCAGCTAATCAGTAACTTTTAGCAAAAATCACTGATTTCAATTGTTTGCGGTCACCAAACTATTTTTATTTTCACACAATATTGTTTTGTTGTTTTATATTTTGTTTTAAAAGATAGATGTGCAAACTTTATCTTAGAATAATAATTTTTAATGGTCTGCTTTCAAGATTTCTTAGAATGTTTCTCTTGAATCATGCGGTTTAATAGATTCTTTTTTACTACTACGACTACTCTTCAGAAGAAAAAAAAAGTTTTAAAAAATTAATTGTTTTTCCATGGAATACCGAAAGTTAATGTTCATTCATGGTGATATTTTTGCATGGATTTTTCGGTTGTCATTACTTCTGCAGCATTCAAAATTACTAGAAGAAATGATCCATCCTGGTTCTACTGTACAAACAAATGAAAATATGAATAAAGGAACTGAATTAACCTTGTGAGTATTTTTAAGTTTCGGAGGAGGCATGTCCCTGATCCTACGCATAGCTTGAAGAGGGGGCTCATTGAAGAAGGGTGGTTCACCATCTACCATCTCTATTACCATGATACCCAGAGACCATATGTCAACCTGAAACACACAAGTACAGAAATTAATCAAATGACATATTTATTTGAATGCAATTGCAACACTTGTGAAGTTGGTGCAAGAATGGTGGCGAACAATCGGTAAAAATATACAGGGTATCAAAATTTCTTGCTTCAACTTAACTCCCTGTGATTTTTTTTCATTGCGTCAATAGCATAATGGGCTTACATCAATGATTAGAGGTTCAACGAAGGAACTTAATTATATTTGTTACCATTCATCATTACATGTCGAAGCAAGAGGCAAGAATTCGTTTTAAAGTGTGATGGAAGGTGAATGAAAAGGTGAATCACCATTTATGAAACTATGTACCTCTACCAGGTTAAGTGAAATTTGTCAAAATATTAGTAATATTTTGACTGTCACGAGTCTTCTAACTTCAGAGGTAATTGTGTCCATTATTGAATAAGCTAACATAATATTTCACTTTCTTTAATCACTAAAAAGTTATTAAAGTAAATAATGGAAACTATTATTATTCTGCAGATGTAGCATTTTTCAGAGTACTAATTTAGAATGCATAGGAAATAAATAGTAAGATTCATTAAAAACATATTTTTTTTCTTAAAACATAAATAATGCATGCATTATAAAAACATGTATTCCTGAAATAAATTTTGAGTTAGCTTAATTATTAAAGTACAGTTTCTAAAAGGCATAATAATGCACATTTTTTTTGTCTAATAAGGAGGCTGCTTACAAAAACACTTAAATTGCAAATTTTTATTTTTTCCTTTTTTAAATTTTTTATCCTCTTCTTTCCAAGGGTTTTCATTAAAAAGATTCAAAAAATATTCATACGATTATTTATTCAAAATATTCAAATATTTCAATAAATTTGAGAAAAATATGCTTACTTTACCAAAAGATTAGAGGCAAATTACATACTTATAAGAACTATACATATTAAACATTTGGGGGAAAAAATTATATTTAAATATCGTTAAAAAGAAAATAACTAACATTAAAGTTAAATGTTAAAAAGAAAATAACGCAGATCAATATTTTAGATGCTATAGGGATTTATATGACTATGCATGTCTACAATAAGTTTTTTTTTTTCAAAATTGTAAGATATTATAGTATTTTTCCAACCAAAGAAGTTGTGCTTAGTTTATTATGTTTTGCGTAAGCAAGAAATCAAATAATCAGTTCCATTAAGAATTATCAATCATATTGATCTTATCATTTAGTTATAAAAGTTATTATAAATTTCAACTACAAACTGATAAAAAAGAGCTTTGTAAGAAATAATTTACAATGGTTGGTTCAAAAAAATTGGGACTTTTTTTAAAATTATAATCCAAAATTATTCTGGTAGAGGGAAAAAATAGTACATTCTTTACAGCTCTCAGACATCAGTGGCAATTACCTACACTTTATAATAGCTTTGAACATAGTTCTTGTGTGTTTAAAAGGAGACTATTTTTTTCAGTAATTCGAAAAAGAAAAAACTTTTACGTTTGCACAAGTTGCAAGTTTTTTCTCTCTCTGTTTGAGTATGATCCTTTTTCTTCAAAGCATAGTTTGTTTTACTATAATAAATTACTTGCCTTTACTTGTATATCCATACCTGCCAAACATTGGAGAAATAAAATAACGGAGATTTTAGTAACCGCCCCAATTTTGGTTTTACGACTACTGATGTTCAACTCCATAGCCTTGTAATTTTAAACCCAATCCAGAAGACAAGAGAACTCCTGGATCAAGTATTGGGACAAATTTGCCTATGGAGAGGACTTTTTTTTTATAGAACTAACCAGCATTTGTCTTACATGGAGAGGAAAACCACAAAAACCTACTACAGCCTGACAGCAAAGGGAGTCTAACCCATTATTCGTCTACCAGTGACGGTATTTCACTTCAGCACTATGGTCAGTGCAAACCGGATGTGGAATGCATATCGACCAGTAATCACTGGGATTCGAACCTGTGTTTACCTCATTTGAAGGCGAACGCGCTATCCCCTGAGCCATCACAGCTCGACGTAAACATTTAACAATCAACATACTGCAGTACTGGCAATCGCACCATCTGTTGAAGAATAAAAGAAATATTTTTGATATCAGTGGATATTTTATCACTATTTTTTCCTTTTTTTCAAAATTTCTTCAACAACTACGGAGAAATTTGAGAATATGCAGGTAAACGGGAGAGAGTAGTAAAATACGGGAGTCTTCGTTAAAAAACAGTAGACTTGGTAGGCATGCATATCACTGTGCCTTTTAGATCAGGCAAATGAAAAGTTTAAATTTTAATTTAAAATGCTTGTTAAAATATTTGATGATGATAATTGATAATGAAATATCTTACTTCAGGTCCATAAGGTAGACGAGAAATGACTTCAGGCGCCATCCAGTAAGGGGTTCCAACCAGTGACTTTCGATTCGGCAACTCATTTGAGACCTGAGCGCAAAATCCAAAATCAGACAGCTTCACCTGAAAGAATAAGAAGAAAAAATTAAAAAAAAAGAAGAAAAGATTTATTTAATTTGCATTGATTTTGGAACAAAATGCTCAGACTTCTAAAGCAATTTAAAGAAGAGAGCTTTAATCTTTTGGAGCTATTCAGTCACAAAGGAATTGTAGTGAGAAATTTAATTATTTTTAATGTACTTTAAATGCTGCAGGACATTAATTAACGAAAGTAATTTTGTCCAAAACCACGCAAGAGTATCAAAATATATAGACTATAGAAGCAAACTTTTTAATCTGCTTTCAGCAATAAACTACTTTCAATATGAACCTTTATAAAAAAATTTGTTAAGTTTAACCACTTCCATTACCAATTTCTTTAGAAAAAAAATATAAAAAAAATTAGCATTTTTTATTTCATTTTATTAATAAGTACAAGGAACTAAAAAAAAATAAACTCAGTGGCGCGGCATCCTATAGAGGGCCAGGGCCTACTGTGCCTATCTCAGTATTCTTGACCTTAGGCTCTGGGGTGCAGGAGCTGGGGTATCGGTCAGATGGTCAGTCGAACGCTGCACCTCATCTACAGAGAGTTGTGTTTCTTACAGTGATGTTTGAAAACAATGAATATCCCCTGTTCTAAGTACCCCCCCCCTCAAAATCCTTCACAAGTGTTCACTTACATGTTGCATAGCTGCCAACCTTAGGAATCAAAAACTAGGAACACTATATGCAACAAAATTTTATGCACCAATTACAAGAGCAAGACAAAAATTTAACTATTAAATAATAACATTAATAGACATATATTTAAAATGACATATTTTTAACTATAGACACTATCTTTGTGGGAAATTCAAAATATTAATATAGTATAATTAGGAATATCTATATAATAGTTTGAAAACAGCCATTACCTATTAATATCTAATTATTCCTCTCGAAATTATAAAACACAGGAAAATAATCTGCATCATAAACAAATATTTCTGATGCAAGTGTTTAAATACTACAATACATTTTTTTAAAAAATAATAGCAGTAATAGTTTAAGATTCAATTTAGTGAAATGATCAGCAGCAGCTTTTTTGAATAGTGTTCACCAATAAAAAGATACTAAAAATTAATTCTGCACAATGATCACAAGCGGCGATCAGAACAAGGGATTGTTTTAAAGTAAAAATACAGCAATTTTACGAAAATTCGAATTTGTTTTACAAAAATATAGGATTTTCAGATTTTATTTAAAAATTAGGAACCAGTTTGAAAAATCCTGAACAGTTGGCAGGAATGCATATTGCAACTATGCGCAACTGTGTTACTGACTGTGGATGTCACGGATTCAATTTCACTGCAGTTGTTGCTTAAATGTAAGCCATCTATTGGCGGGAAGTTTATTAAATGTGCAATTTGGTGGGATAAAATGCCTGGTGGGAAAAAATGCCTGGTTTCCCAAGCCTCAAACCATACAATTTCATCATGTTCCCTTTTCTTTCGCTATTGATTTTTAAAATCCATCAATCATTGGCGGGATCCGCATATTGGCGGGAAGTTTATTAAATGTGCAATTTGGTGGGATAAAATGCCTGGTTACCCAAGCCTCAAACCATACAATTTTATCATGTTCCCTTTTCTTTCGCTATTGATTTTTAAAATCCATCAATCATTGGCGGGATCCGCATATTGGCGGGAAGTTTATTAAATGTGCAATTTGGTGGGATAAAATGCCTGGTTACCCAAGCCTCAAACCATACAATTTTATCATGTTCCCTTTTCTTTCGCTATTGATTTTTAAAATCCATCANTCATTTAGTTATAAAAGTTATTATAAATTTCAACTACAAACTGATAAAAATGAGTTTTGTAAGAAATAATTTACAATGGTTGGTTTAAAAATTGTGACTTTTTTTAAAATTTAATCCAAAATTATTCTGGTAAAGGGAAAAAAATAGTACTTTCTTTAAAGCTCTCAGATATCAGTGGCAATTACCTACACTTTATAATAACTGTGAACATAGTTCTTGCGTGTTTAAAAGGAGACTATTTTTTTCAGCAATTCGAAAAAGAAAAAACTTTTACGTTTGCACAAGTTGCAAGTTTTTTCTCTCTCTGTTTGAGTATCATCATCCTTTTTCTTCAAAACATACTTTGTTTTACTATAATAAATTATTTGCTTTTACTTTTATATCCATACCTGCCAACAATGGAGAAATAAAATAACAGAGATTTTAGTAACTGCCTCAATTTTGGTTTTACGACTACTGATGTTCAACTCCATAGCCTTGTAATTTTGTACCCAATCCAGAAGACAGGAGAACTCCTGGATCTAGTATTGGGACAAATTTGCCTATGTAGAGGACTTTTTTCAATAGAATTAACCAGCATATGTGTTACATGGAGAGGAAAACCACGAAAACCTCCTACAGCAAAGGGAGTCTAACCCATTATCCGTCTACCACTGAGGATATTTCACTTCAGCACTATGGTGCACGGTGCAAACCGGATGTGGAATGCATATCGACCAGTCATCACTGGGATTCGAACCTGAGTTTACCTAATTTGAAGGCGAACGCGCTATCCCCTGAGCCATCACAGCTCGACGTAAGCGCTTAACAATCCACATACTGCAGTACTGGCAATCGCGCCATCTGTTGAGGAATAAAAGAAGTATTTTTGATATCAGTGGATATTTTATCACCATTTTTTCCTTTTTTTTAAAATTTCTTTAACAACTTCAAATGTGAGAAAATACAGGTAAACGGGAGAAATTATTAAAATACGGGAGTCTTCGTTAAGAAACAGGAGACTTGGTAAATACGTATATCACTGTGCCTTTTAGATCAGGCAAATGAAAAGTTTAAATTTTAATTTAAAATGCTAGTTGATGCTTGTTTAAATATTTGATGATGATAATTGATAATGAACTATCTTACTTCAGGTCCATAAGGTAGACGAGAAATGACTTCAGGCGCCATCCAGTAGGGGGTTCCAACCAGTGACTTTCGATTCGGCAACTCGTTTGAGACCTGAGCGCAAAATCCAAAATCAGACAGCTTCACCTGAAAGAATAAGTAGAAAAAATTTAAAAAAAAAAAAAGATTTATTTAATTTGCATTGATTTTGGAACAAAGTTCTCAGACTTCTAAAGCAATTTAAAGAAGAGAGCTTTAATCTTTTGGAGCTATTCAGAGTCAGCAGGAATTGTAGTGAGAAATTTAATTATTTTTAATGTACTTTAAATGCTGCAGAACATTAATTAACGAAAGTAATTTCGTCCAAAACCTCGCAAGAGTATCAAAATATTTAGACTACAGAAGCAAACTTTTTAATCTGCTTTCAGCTATAAACTACTTTGTATAAGACCCTTTATAAAAAAAAATTGTTAAGTTTAACCGCTTCCATTACCAATTTTTTGGGAGAAAAAAAAATCAAAAAATTAGCATTTTTTATTTTATTTTATTAATAAGTACAAGGTACTAAAAAAAAATAAACTCAGTGGCGTGACAGCCCATAGAGGGCCAGGGCCTGCCTACTGTGTCTATCTCAGTATTCTTGACCTTAAGCTCTGGGGTGCAGGAGCAGCTGTTCCGGTCGGGAGGTCAGTCGAACGCTGCACCTCATCTACAGACAGTTGTGTTTCTTACAGTGATGTTTGAAAACAATGAATATCCTCTGTTCTAAGTACCCCCCCCCCCTCAAAATCCTTCACAAGTGTTCACTTACATATTGCATAGCTGCCAACCTTAGGAATCAAAAATTAGGAACACTATATGCAACAAAATTTTATGCACCAATTACAAGAGAAAGACAAAAATTTAACTATTAAATAATAACATTAATAGACATATATTTAAATAGACATATATTTAAATAGACATATATTTAAATAGACATATTTTTAATTATAGACACTATCCTTGTGGGAAATTCATAATATTAATATAGTATAATTAGGAATATCTATATAATAGTTTGAAAACAACCATTACCGATTAATATCTAATTATTCTTCTCGAAATTATAAAACACAGGAAAATAATCAGCATCATAAACAAATATTTCTGATGCAAGAGTTTAAATACTACAATAATTTTTTAAAAAAAATAATAGCAGTAATAGTTTAAGATTCAATTTAGTGAAATGAACAAATAAAAAGATACTAAAAATTACTTCTGCACAATGATCACAAGCTGCGATCAGAACTAGGGATTGTTTTAAAGTAAAAATACAGCAATTTTACGAAAATTCGGATTTTTTTAAACAAAAATACAGGATTTTCAGATTTTATTTAAAAATTAGGAACCAGTTCGAAAAACTCTTAACAGTTGGCAGATATGCATATTGCAACTATACGCAACTGTGTTATTATATGTGGATGGCACGGATTCAATTTCACTGCAGTTCTTGCTTAAATGTAATGCCACCTATTGGCGAGAAGTTTATTAAATGTGCAATTTTGTGGGATAAAATGCCTGGTTTCCCAAGCCTCAAACCATACAATTTTATCACATTCCCTTTTCTTTCCCTATTAAATTTTAAAATCCATCAATCATTTTTTGAACACCTGGTAGAAAAAATTAGAGAAGAGTAAGTACAGGATTTTGTTTGCCCATCGACAAAAACAGCAATTACAAGACTGCAAATAACTGCTTTTTGCACTGTTGTAATATAATACAGTAAAACTTCAACAATATTTTAGGGATCAAATAAATATATTGCTGTAGAGGGATAGATTAGTATATCGAGGGCCTGCCTACTTTGGAGACATAAGATTTTTTTCAAAATTTTAATGCTATATATGTGATGTATTAACTATAAATCTATTTATATATCATATAAAAATATAATTTGCTGAGTGTTAATTATGGTTAAATATGAAATCAGTGACTTCTTAAGAGATAAGGGAGGCAATTCTAAAGAATAGAAGGTCTTGGGGTGGTCTATGTACGTCAAGGATGGTGTATTGAAATTTGAATACAAAAGCCATTCACTGTGGTGAAAAGAAATAAGATAAGAACATAATCAGCAGTGAGTCTTCTCGTGTCAGAAAAGACCGGAGAAAAAAGGCAAAATATGATGAAATAAAATTTTTTACATTTGAAAACCAATAATAAATAAGGAAAATAAGGTTTAGATTTGAAAAAAAAACTTTTTACAGGGGTTTATTGCTTTAGAGAATATCGCAATATTGAGGGGAGGATAACATTAATTCATATGCAAGTTTGTCGGGATCACAAAACATTATCGTAATAGAGGGAATTATTGTTGCATCGGATATCGTAGTAGCGAGAGTTCTCTGCATCAAAGTTATTAATATTGTAATATAATATAAAATTGAAAAGAATAATTAAAAAATTTTGATATTAGTGCAAATCAATTTATTTACCCGTCCATCACTAGCCAGTAAAATGGAGTCACTCTTAATATCCCTGTGAATAACACCTTGAGAATGAAGAAAAGCAAGAGCCTTGAGACACTGCTTGCAAACAGTTGCAATCTGCTCCTCGTCCATTCTGGAGTGGGTCACTATGTCGGTCAGAGCTCCACCCTCCAGAAATTCCATGACTACCCATAATTCATCTCCCACTAAGAAGCTGTCAAACATTTCAACAATATTTGGATGGTGATAATCACGCATGATGACAACCTGCAAAAATGAAAGACATCATACTATAAGACAGGGTTTCAACAAAAAAATAAGCAACTTTTAAGCACTCAAAAAATATTATTAATCACTTTCCAAAACAAAATCATAATTAGAATCTTTGCAGTAATAAAAAAAAAATTTAAAAAATTTTATCGTTTAAGGTTCTTAATTTATAAGCATAAAATCACTAAAATTCAAAAACATTTTCAAAAACTCTACATAATCATGATAAAATAACTAGTTTCTGATAAATATTTTTAAAAGAAATAAAATTAAGCACTTTTTACAAACACCGAATAAAAAAAAAGCACCTTTAAGAGCTTTTAAAAAATGTAAAATCAAAAATAAGCACATTTAAGCACTTAAAACTCAAAGGATCTCAAAAGTAACAAATCTAAAAAAGTTTTTGTTGGTATAATCTCGAAAATGCGAATGATTTTACGTCTCGTTACTAATAATCGTATATATACTTACAACCTGAAATTAAAGTGGTTCTTGTTTGTTCTTTCTTTATTTGTTTATTGAATGATGCTGTGATTATGTGAGATAGTTGTAAGCAAGCAATATTTTTTTTCGTGCTTTTTATTTATAATACTTGATTTGTTCATACCAAGTTCTGTTTTAAATTAAATCTTCACTTACAGTTCTAATAAGCCCACATTTGACTCTAGAATTATCTTCTAACTTTGAACTAAAAGCACTGTGCAATGGTATAAGAGACACATGCGGCTATAGATATCACAAAAGGCACTAATAATAATCAAATAAACGATTCAGAATTGATTTGCAACGAAATGTCGAGTTGAAAATAAACATTTTATTTTTAAAATGAGNAAAATTCATGCTTGACTGGTAGGCACTATTTGGCATAATTCCGGCGCCAAGCAGACAACGGTATTGCGTCAAATAGCATTCCGCTTTGTTTACTTTCACTATCAGTTCTCGTTGAACAAACTATAGTTAACTCATTTTCGGCCAAAGGTGCGCAAATGCACCGTTTCAATAAATATATTTTTATTAACACTGTGATGAATATTTTTCACTAATTTTATTTTTCTGCTATTGTCAAGAGTTCTGAAGAGATCCATAAATTATTAGTAATTTAATTGGAATAAGCACTTTCTGTTGAGAAATTTGTAAGCTATTCAAGTTTTGTTTTAAAACTTAAAGCCGTTATTGACAAATAAAATTTTTGGAAAATGTATAATTATTCATTTTGAGATTTGTCATACATTTTTAAGATGGATTAAAGTTGCATATCAGTAAATAAAAAAAAATTTTAAATCATAAAAAAACAAGCGTTCAACTAAATAGTTTGTCCATTAATTTAGTGAAGGATGCCTATATGTACCACTTTATTTCTTAAATAAAAAATAATATTTCCTACATGAAGTTTTTTGAGTCTTAATAAATTGTAATGCAAGCATATTTAAATTAAAATAACACCACATTTTATTACATTTCCATGCTTGGCCTAAAATGGGTTAACACAAATTTTTACTGGTTTGTTTACAGGTCTCTTATTTTTTCTCTAAAAAAAAAGTCCCCTGATGAAGGAATGTTCTGCAAACACACAATGATATTTTATTTTTATTTATTTTTATTATTAAGTAATTTTATGTTGTTACTAATTTACTAAAATACAAATTTGGTTATAGCTGCACTGTGCGCTTTTCCAATTTGAATTTATGAAGTAAAATGTTCAATGCTGTTCTGCTATGTAATAAAGTAGTAAAATGTAAGTAAAATGTTCACTGTTGTTCTAAAATGTTCTGCATGTACTGTCCATTTTTCAATATTTATTAGAAATTAGAATTTGTGTTTGAATAAAGAGAGTTTGTAATGTTCACAAATATGGTGAAATATGTTTTGTGACAAAAATGCAGAAAAAAATATGTAAGAGTAAAATCAAACATCCAACACTGCACGCCATCTCTCACATAAATTGCTGGTCTGGGGGACCACCGATAGTTACTTTATGGCAAAACTGATTAAAATTTTAGATCAGCATAAATTTCAAGCCGTGATATTTCCTATATTTTCCTTTTTTCTATTATTCTTTTCAAAATCTATTTTCTGTTTACCCACTTTTAACTAATTTCTTTTGAATAAATTAATGAATTAAAGTTACCTGCTCATGTGAGAGTCTCTGCTGTTCTAGATGATTTTGATTTTGGTTTGACTTAGCTGGAGGACGTGTTTCAGATTTAACCGGCTCTTGAGGAGTCTGAAAGAAGAGAATTACAAATTAGCAAATCATACAAGTTCACTGCATGTAAAGGAAAACACATAATTGAATCAGAATAACATAAAAAACTAGGAAATAAAGGTAAATAAAGCTAAAAATTCCTATTTGGAAAATCAAAGTAAAAAAAAATAAACCCTTCTATTTGTGGAAAGCAAAACATCGAATTTCAGAACTCAAGATATTCTATCAAAAAGCTTGAAATGGATTTATAACCAGAATTAGATTAGCAAAAATATCAAGGAATCATTAACTATTTCTAACACCACAGAATTTTTTTTCAAATAATTGAAAACAACATTTATATTTGAGGTATTTTTAGAATCAATTACTCTGAAAAATGACCCCCAGGGCATATTAAAATAATATGAATAAAGAAAAATATTTAAACCAAAAATAGATTTGACAATTGAGTACACTTAAAAATGTACTTATTAGTACACTGCTTTTAGACCACTAAGCACTTTTTTTTTTATCTTCATTTAATTTCTTTTCTCACCTATAATAAAAGTTATAATAAAAATGTTTTCAATTATAGTTAAATAGAGAACAATGCTGACTAAACCAGAACTAAATCAGGGTTCCCACTCTTTTAACAAAGCAAATATTAAGGACTATTAACAATTCCTTTTTAAAAAAATTAAGGAATTTTTTGAAAAGTTAAGGACATTAAAAATAGTATGAATGTTTATCAATGAATATAAGTGCCAATTAGTTACATTTCTTTTAAAAAAAATCAATAAATTTAAAACAAAATTTATTTGTATTAATTAACAGGGCTCACCAAAGTAGGACCAGGCAATCTTTGCAAACCTGGGCCAGGTTTGCTTCAATATTTTTAGATTGTTAAGGTTTAACGACATTTTTGAAACTAATCCAAATTCCATTTTTAATGATTTCATTGAAATTGAATTGTAAAATGAAGTGCAAAAATTGAGATTTGCAATTTTTTTTTCAACAGAATATTTAGTTGAAATGTTAACTGAATGTAATGATTATTAAAATCCAAGTTTGAATTTAATTCTATTAACAAAAAGTTGACGATTTTTAATTAAGAAAATTTAAATTTTTATATAACAATCTGCTTATCCTTATGTAATAAAAATAAAAGGTTAACAATCTAAAACATTTATAAAAAAAATTTACCTTGCAACAAAACAAGCTATAAATAGTTACCAAATATTTTACTTTCTTGTCAGAAGCAAATCATGCATTCTTATTTAGTACCCAGGAATAAAAACTTAAAAACCTAAATTTAACTTAAAAACCTAAGTACTAAAAACCTACATTTACTAAGTAAGGACTTAACTTTTAAAATGAAATACACAATTTTAAGGCACATATACTACTTAATTGTATATAGGTACATAATTATAATTAATTTATGCATACATTTGCAATGAAATAAAGAAAAATAACACTAAGATAAAAGTACTAAATTAAAAAAGACTGAAATTTTAAATTAAAATGATAAAATTAAATTGAATCAATGTACAAGTTTTTGTTTAAATTAGAACTAACCCTTATTGTCTTTTTATTATCCTGTATTTGAACAACTAAAACTTTTTGCTCACAGTACTTCAAATTTCAGTTTATGTTCTTTAGTTTTTCGATTAAAAGAGAGAAAATTAGGTTTCAGAATAGTGTATTGGAAATGAGAAAGATCAAATCTCTTTTTGTGTGTGTGTCTTGTTTTGATAAATTCATTTTTATTTTTTATTTATTAATTTTAGAATTGTCTAAGAAGTAGAGAAAAGTTATCGGACTTTAATTTAAAAATTTTTTTTATAATTCTAAGTAGTTAAGGGGAAAAACTTATTATTAACAATATATTATAGAAATTCCCAAATAACGTAATTTTTATTACTCAGGCCGTAATCTAAACTATGAAATCATAAAAATTACGAATAAATTGTAATTGTTGGCATGTTTGCAGCGCTAAAAAAATTAAGAAAATAAAAAGAATCAGGAGGAAAAAAAAGGGGGTAGAACTACCTTATTGTTTTCTTTATGCTCAACAGGCAGAGGAGGTTGCTCTTTTGGCTGATGAGGTTGAGTAAAAGGTGGCCTGGAAGGTTTACTACTTCGATCCATCTGATTATTGTTTTGGGAGATGTTTTGCTGGTTGTTGATATTCATATCAGGTAAATTCTTTGAATTTGGATGAGAATTGCCATTTGGAACTGGGGGGCGGTGCGAAGGTGGATTGCCAGGCGGTGGATGCCCAGGATGAGGTGAATATTGATTTTGCATCGGAGGCACAGGGGGCATTTTTGATGGAACCTAAAAACAAACAAATATAAGATAAGTTTGATACTGATCATAAAATAAAACTTTAATTTTTATAGGCAATCTAGATGAACTCTTACATAACAGTTAAAAATATTTTATCATTCACAAAGATAAATTATATATCTAATACTTAAAGGTAATCAAAATTAACAAAATACTGATTTCTCCAATAGTTTAATCAGGATTGAAAAAGAAATCAATTTTTAAAAAAAAATAATACTTTTTTTTAGTTTATAGTAATTTTTTTTTTAATCTAGGTCATTTAATAGATTAAAAATAAAAGTTAAATATGAATTAAGCACTGAATTAAAAGTAACAAACATGAAAAGAATTCAATAAAAACCTTTTTTTTTATTAATAATAAATAAACAATTCAGAAATATCCACTTTAGTTCCATAAATATACTAACACAATAAAGCATAATAAGTAAATATTTTATGTTTACACATTAACATGCAATAAATATCTAATATTAAAATATTAGTTAGAGTAATAAATGCCAAAAAGTGAATCGCCCCCCATTTTGTCAGTATAAAGAAAACCTTATACTTCAGAACTATTTACATTAATGACATTATTTACATTAGAACTATTTACATTATACAATTTATGAGATCAAATATTTTTACAAAACAAAAATTCTCGTTTGAACTTTTCTTACTATTGTCTGCTGCATAGAAGAAAATAAATTTAAAAAAACAATTAAAATATTTCAAATAAAATTCTCTTCGTTAAAATTTTTTTCTTTCTTTTTCAATAAAAAGTGATTTTGAAAATCTTACAATAATTAATTAAAAAACATTTTACATACATAGAGTACAAACTCGCTTACACTAATAGCTAATTTTAAAATTTAAGAGAAAAATTCAACATCAGTATATTGAATTAAAAAGAACTTTCTCTTAATGCTATTGAATATAGTGAGCGTAATTCACATTTAACAAGATAAAAAGAAAGTTACAGAAATGTTTGATCTTAACTCATTTTAAAATTACATTTTTTTTATTAATTTTATAAGCTAGCAGAACATGAATTTTAGAGATTTTAAAGCTTAATTTTCAATTTACACAGATTCTCAAAGAGGTGTAGTTTAACATTGTGTAAAAATTATAATACATTATGTTTCAAAACATTTTCAATATTTTTTAAAAGCTCAATATCCAAAGAAAAAATAATTACTAGATTATGATATTGTTCCTCGTGATTCCAATCACCATCTCTGTCGGGAGGTCGGGAATGATCTTCGACGGCATCGAAAGGAGGAGGGCCGACGCCTTTGGGTTCCTGACCGTAAGGAGATGCATCTCTTCTTCCCTCATTTCTGTATGTATTGTGATGAACGTGTCTGCGGTTTGGAATTTGTTGTTGATGGTGCATGTTGTGCTGATGCGTATGGTGATGAGGATAATGTCCTTGGTAAACGGGAGGTCCACCGGGGGGTGGGTGAGGTCCGCTGTGCTGGATTTCATCTTCTGGAACAGGAGGGGGTAGCCTGCTTAAGTAGTCTCTGCGGATTTGAGGAGGGCTCTCTTTCCTCAGAGAATTCGATCGTGTGACCGAAACTGGACCGTTGCGATGCATAGTGCTGGTACCATAACTCCCTCTTACTATCGTCTGCAAATTCCAATAATATATATAATATATATACATACAGTACTGGTCAAAAATTTAGACTCAGTTGTATTTAGTTCAAAACTTTCAAAAATGGTTAAATATTTCTGACTTAAACGTATAATTTATCAAATATAAACGTCAACAACCTTAACAATAAAAAAAAATTGTATGTTGTACAAAAAGTCACAAAATTCTAAGAAATTGTGTCATTATATATCTATATGTAATTGTTTTTCTAATCGAAATTAAAAAGCAGTCAAAATGACTTCCTAGTGTTAATATTTGTAGTGTTAGTCACGCCAAAAAAGGCTCTACAATTTCATAGCCAAATGCACGATTATGGCAATGTGAAAAACATTGCCCACCGACTAAGTTTACTTCTCAAAGAACCGGCTAGCAATCTGAAGCTGATGTATTAGTACAAATGCAAAAAATAAATAAATAATAATCCATGAGTTTATTCAAAAAAAAAAAAAGAGAGAAAATAATCCAAAAGACTTACATGAGATTTTATGTCCATCATTTCGATTGGTGTGATCTGAGACGGATCGATGATTGGCTTTGGCCGGTTTGAGATGGGCTGGATAAGGCTGGCCCACTGAGGAGGAAGACCCACAAATTTACCCTCTTTTCTGTCATAACCAGTGTGGACACGATGTTCAAAGTTCGTTGGCAAAGATATGATTGGCTTCTTTTTCTTCTTTGCAAACATTGTGTGATATCTAACAAACAAAAAATTATATAGGGGTGAGATTAGCTCATTTAAAACTATGTAACACAAATAAATCTAAATATCATAGAACAAATTTATTTGGAGAGAAAAAAAACAAGAGTCTTATAGATAAGTTATTAATAGATAAGTTATTAACATAGAATTTTCTCAGACATTGACATCACTAAAGAACATATCTTTGTGCTGGTGTATGACAAGGTATAAAATAATGAATAATGGACAAATAAATTAGTTTAAGAGCATACCTGCCAACATTGGAGAAATAAAATAACTGAGATTTTACCAGCAACATTTTTTAGGCTACAAGTAAAGTTCTGATACATCATGTAAGCAGGGGTCTGTCCAGACATTTTGTGAAGGGTCCGTTTTTCGTGAAATTGTGAAAAAATTACTCACATTCTTTCAATCAGGGTCCGCTTTTATGNACAGAGGGAAAGATTCCGTAATTTGATGCACAATTTTTTAAACTGTATCATTGAAAATATTACTGATAGATTGGGAGATTTGGATAAAATCGAAATGTTCAATATATTTATACCTAGCAGGATGCCCCATAGTTCGGAATTAAGTTATTCTTTGTCAGATAACTTACAGTACTTGTTTGATATAAAGTAGTTTTAGAAGCCTAATGGCATTTTAGCATTTTGCTAAAACTTTTTTTCAGATTTTAGCTTTTTTGCTAATGAATTTTTAGACTCAGCTTAAACCCTGGTATGACAAGGTATAAAATAATGAATAATGGACAAATAAATTAGTTTAAGAGCATACCTGCCAACATTGGAGAAATAAAATAACTGAGATTTTACCAGCAACATTTTTTAGGCTACAAGTAAAGTTCTGATACATCATGTAAGTCAAAAAGAGAAATTCAAAATTAATTGGAAATAATATAAGCACTTATATTTAGCGAAGTAAAAAATATGTCGATAATTCTTAACCTAAGGAAGAGTTTTTCAAACCCATTATTAATAATTACATAAACACTCAACATAATGCAGTACTGGCACCATCTGTTAAGTAATAAGAGAAGTATTTTTGCCATCAGCGGATATTTTATCACCAATTTTTTTTTAAAAATCTCTTCAACAAATACAGAGAAATTCGAGAATATATGGGTAAACAGGAGATAGTCGTAAAATACAGGGGTTTTCGTTAAAAAACAGGAGACTTGGTAGGTATGAAAGAGACAGCAAATTACTAAATTAGAATAGTGAACAGAATGTAATGTTAAGAGAAATTAAATAGAAAGCACATAAATATTTCCATTCTGTTTCAGAATTGATGATTAATGGTACTGATAAAAAAAAAGTGAAATTTTTTATTTAGTGATCAGAACATCACATATTTAAGATACAAATTTAAAAGTTTGAAGGATAGATTTTAAAATGCACTGTGTGGACAAAATAAAAAAATGGACCACCCCGTATAACTTTGGATCTACTTCATATTCTGGGACTCAATTTTAATGGTTCAAAAGGATATTCAAATATACCCTAACTAATTAGTGTAGACAATATTTTAAGTTACGAAATCTGACACAAAATCGCATTTTGTCCGAATAAACATAGCCTGTTTTTAAAGATGGATTCGGATTTCTGAACCCTGAAATACAGTGGATAGCCGCAATGTGGGAAATATGGTGTCAAAAGTTTGTTCAGAAGAGCATTCCAATAGTTAGTTCAGGAGAGCAGGTTTGGATCCCTTAATGCTTATTTTACTTTTTGTGTATTTCACCACATCTCGAAAAAGTCATATTTTAAAAAATTTGGTTTCTCAGCAACTATTCGACTGATTTTACTCAAATTTTGTATTTTGCCATTTAAAATAGAATTCCTTAAAATGATGCAAGAAATTTTATGCTTGACAACTCAAAAGTTTTTCGACTAATATTAAATAAAATATTTTCTAAAAGTTATATTTTGCATGGAAAACGAATAATTGAATCAACGAATTTTATAAATGTATGAAAATTTTTTTCAATTCGTTTAAAAAATTAACGAGATATGGCGAAATGACGCAAAAATAAAACTGACATCCAAAATTTGGACCACTATTGACCAAACTATTGGGACCATTTTTCCCAAATTGCAGCTACCCCCTACATTTGTAGTCATTGGTGGTCAGAAATTCCAATCCGTCGAAGAAAAAAAAGTATGTCTATTCTGAGTAAGTACGTTTTTGTGTCTGTTTTCAGAACTTAAAATATCGTTAGCACTAATTAATCAGCATATTTGAGGTCACCCCTTCAAACCTTTAAGATTGAGTCCTAGAACGAGAAGATCCGATCATTAGAACAAAAGTATTCAGGATGGTTTGTTTTTTACTTTGCTTACTGTATCTACTATTAATCAGTTAGTACTATACATGCTTACTTCACAAAATCAGACTTGAAATAGGTGACATTTTTTTATGTATTCATATCATAAAATTATTTCGTAGTGAAAATATGGTCCAAATAGTTAAAATGGGAGAGAACCCTCTTAAGAACGTTAAAAAATATTTCGAGTAATAAAAGTTTGAAAACGTAACATTAATTATTGAAGCGAAAAAAAAAAAATTAAGAACTTAATTTGTTTTTTAATTTTATGAAAAAGATTTTTTGATTGAATTAATTAATAAATTATTATTAAAATTAGTGAGAAATATTCTTTGGATAAACAAGTTCAAGGGAAATTTTTTTGATCTTGTAAATAGCTCCCCGAAACATAAAAAAATATGTAAAAATAAAATCACGGTATCCTAACTTTTTACCTCCTTTAACAAAACAATATGGATTATCTTTTGCTTCAAATCTATAGGCCTAAAATCATTGGATAAAAAGGGTGTGTGTTTATTCACCAAACATATGTTTTCACGTATGATTTCGTAATTAGAAGATTAAATTAAGTTAACCTTTAAGTTAAGTTAACCATTAAGTTAACCCTTCAAATCATGATTAACGTATCAATCCATTAAAAAATTAGTTTCTTAAATCAACTTATTCAAAGTAAACTCACAGCACATGCTTTTAAATCAAATAAGACTGTTTTCTGCTTTTTTTATTTGTGCATTATATGTTCTATTTTTGAAACTTAATGAGTTTATTGTAAATATGCTTCCAACAAATATTTTTTTTACATTGTATTTATTAAATATAGTAAATTTTTCTTTGTAAATTATTTTTTTAAAAAATCACACATGCTTCATAATTTCTTTAACCATAAAAATGTAAAAGAAACATGTGAAATCTATCAAATACAAACAGTAGATTAGTATATATATATATATATATTCTTTACCCTTTAATAGTAATTTAAGTAAGATATATGTAGATTTGCACAGTTATTACAGTCTTTAATATGGTTGCTGTTATTTCAAAGTGACTGAATATATTTTATTTTTAACTTCACGGCTTCGAATTTTTGTATTTAAATACTATATTTTTACAGAGCAGGATTTAAAAAGGATCACGAGGCGAAAATTTTCACCTAATTATGGATTGTTACAACATTGTAAATAAAAACACATCATTGTAAATAAAAACACATTATTTTCCAAACACACATCATTAAATCAAATATAGTGGTGTGAACAAAAAAAGAAATCGCGAGTATGAATGATAAATTTAAAAAAATCTAATTTATAAATATTAATTCATTAGGAAGGAAAAAAAAAAAGACAGGCAGTAGCAAACTTTTAAATTAAAAAGGTTAATGTTTGTAACAAGTTATTTTTTGAAACACACATGTCAGAAAATTACTATGATCAAATGCAGTGGAAACAATAAAAGAAATCATGAGTTGGAATGATAAATTATCGAAATCTTATCTATAAATATTAATGTCTTTTTCTCCAAGAACGAAAACGACGCACAGGGCAAGTTTTTAAATTAAAAACTTTAATGGTTCCACAACGTGTTTTCAGAATACTTTAAATACATATACATTGTGTACCCCTGGCACAATCGCAGCGACATAGTCGCAGAATGTTACAGAGTTCTTGCAGAATGATTTTTCTTTTGAAAAATGAAAATAATTACTTTTATTTAGAAGTTTACGCGTAATATTTGAATCATGCCTTTTTTCACTTTTTGAAGCTCTCAATTTACGCCGATAGTATCGTGAATCGATGTAATGTTCCGATTGTATTTTGGGTAGTTACTGATATTGATTTTCACGCGGATTTTATATATCCCGATATATTTTAAACAATATAGAAAATTCGAATCTTGCATTTGAATATATACTTTTTTAAGGCAATGATTCTATCGAATTTTATACAGTTATTGCTACGATTTCTCCATAGTTTATAAATCCGATATTTTTAAAAAATATTATTTATTACAACAACCTAATCTCGAAACGAAACACGCATTTGAGGAGTCCGATTAGCATGATTTTGAAAACTATCTTTTATTCGGCAATTACTACTATAAATTAGAATTTTTTTTTTTTTTACAGTGATGACAAAATGCGAAGCAAGAAATAATTTGTGCGCCCCCCCCCCAACATAATGCGAGAATATCACCCATAATATTAGAATAAAAAATTTTTATAAGTTCAATTTAAAAAAAAAAAAAAATTTTTTTTCGTAAACACAGCGTTTTTATTATTTTAAATTAGTAACATACATGTTTGTATTATTAAAAGTATCTTGCAGANCCCCCCCCAACATAATGCGAGAATATCACCCATAATATTAGAATAAAAAACTGTTATAAGTTCAATTTAAAAAAAAAATATTTTTTTTTCGTTAACACAGCGTTTTTATTATTTTAAATTAGTAACATACATGTTTGTATTATTAAAAGTATCTTGCAGAAAGATATTAGTGCTAGAGAGTTTTGTCACAGATAGCTCGAAAATATTTTGCCACAGGATTGGGTACAATAAAATCGATTTGAGTGAGAAAGATAATTTAACAAAAATCAAGGGTTAGGAATTGGATTTATAAAACTATCGATATTGAAATTTAGAGAAGATTTAAGAACATTGCTATAGTCATTAAGCG